TGGGAGTGTATGGGGAGTGAGTGAGTTCTCACTCTATTAGTTTCTACGAGAGCTTATTAGTAAAAGGAGCCTGGCACTACCTCCCTCCAGCCCCTCCTGCCTCCTCTCTCTCACCATCTGATCTCTGCCCACCCTGATTCCCCTTCACCTTCCACCATAAGTAGAAGTAGGCTGAGGCCTCACTCATGCAGATGGCAAATCACTTTTGTTTTTCTTTATACATTCTAATCCAGCCTCAGGTATTCCTTCATGGCAACACAAAATGGACTAAGGCAAATCCCCTAATCTAACCCTTATTATTTTTCTCAGTACAAATACTTCAGTTCAAGACAGAAAAGGTAAGAGCTGGTAAAGAAGCACATTGCTACACTTTCAGTGTAATAGACCTCTGCACCCAGTTGAAAACTTCTGGAAACACTTTAGGTCTTTCATTACAATTAAATGCCATGGTCTTTAGCTAATACTTCTCTGAAGTATGTACATGAACAAAATGATACATGGATGTCTCTAAAACAGAAGATTAATAATTGTTCTTTGGGCTGCTGTTCATTGTTAATGATATTTAGAATTTTTATATTAGTGTATTTTTTTCCTTTATTGCTCCTATTAATGACTATGCTATGTACAGTAAAAACCAGGTTTTGGCCCTCTGGCATCCATTCACTGTACTTCCTTTACTAATTCCCCCTTTCTATTTTGAGTATCTTCTTTCCCGATTCTCCATTTACAGCAGGAATGGCAAAAAATGACTTCACACTCAACTCCATAGATGTCATGTGACCTAAGCCCAACCAAACAGAGCTTCAGGATCTTCTGGCCACAGTGATCACAGTGATTTGTTTGGAGACAGGCATCAGAGATGATGGGTGGCCATTAAACTCAATGAAACTTTTGGATCTTAATTTAAACATCATGAGATTAAATAATTGCTATAATCATGTAGCCCAAGAATTAATCCAACATATAACAGAGAGCAGAGCCAAACCAACAGGGTCCCAGTATCCCTGTTAAGTAAAGCCTTGCCTGAAATCAGATATGTTGGAATGTTTAATTCCATTAGTGAATAAATTCCCTCTTGACTTAAACCAACTTGGGCTGGGTTTTCTGTCACAACAGAAATGGTCCTGATATCTGATAATCATTGAAAACAAATTCATTCACCAACTTGTCCAGTGGTTCTGCCACACTACATTATCTGCTGCTCAGCCTTTAGCCATATTGTAGTCATCCTTAAATTGATGTATCATTGCATTACATTAAAGTAGAATTATTTTCCCTTCCAATTCTTACCCCTCATTCCGTTTGTTCACAGTATTCTTCTAGATTTAAGATCAAATAACCATGATTGCTCTACAATAACTTGCTGTTTTGCATATTTGAAGATAATTCTGAAACACAATCTCTACAACCCCTTACAATGATTAACAGTATTAAACCATTAAACTAAAAGACCAATAAAGTTTTTATAAATTCCAGGCAGGAAATAACTAGTCGCTGACTTCATGAGTCCAGTGAGGAGAAACAAGTTTCAAATACCTTGTATTTAAACTGTGTGATCACAAGTGTACATGAAATGGTTTATATGAAAGTTTAATGAACTTTACTCCATTCTAAAATCTTGTAGCTCAGCAGCCCACTTTGGGCTACATAATTTATCCATCTAGCTGATGCCATCTCTAAATTGAAAATGTGTTTCTCTCTTACTAAAAATATTCGGGTTGCCTCTGTGCAAAGTGAATATGCCATTTTCCACTTAATCAGAGCTAAACTAAGATTAGACTATAAGGAACACCCCAGATCAGGCATCTGGGACTGCCTTCAAAATCTGTCTCCATTTGCTCATCAGGAGACCTGTATATACCCATTTCTCTTGATATTTGACTTCTCTACTAGAAGCTCAGAGACGACAGGAACCCAAACTACCAACCTCTTAGGGTCAGGGTAAGAATTAAAGGTGATGTTGGTCAACTAACGAAGCAATTTTAAATAATTATGAAAAGAGGAGAAGGTGTACTCTTTAACTTCTGACATATATTTATAGATTTTTAAATCCTCCAAATTGTTTCAAATCAGTAATTTGGTTTAAGAAATAGCATTTTCTCATCAGTGAGTTAGCTACATGATTGTACTTTCTTCCTCTCTGCTTCTGAAAGAGAGTTCAGAGCCCCCAGAGCTAGAGTTTCTGGCAAAAATGAGACATTGCAAGCCTTCTGGGGACACACTGTGTGTACCCTCATCTTGTGCAGAGAGAGTACATAACTGAAAAGTGTATGCGATGGGTGGGAAACAGAAACAACAGGCCCCAAATAGCCTCAAGCTGAATTCATTACCTGTGGATTCTGTGCTAATGATTTGGGGAATGCACTGATGCTTAATATTTTATCTGTTTAGCACCACTGTAAGAGCTAGCCTCTGAAGCAAGCCCCGCACTGAGAATCTAACATCTGAAATTTGTTCTGGAAGACACTGAACTGTGCAGCAGTGAGGCACATTGGAAAAGAATTATTTTTCTCTTTGGCTCCTGCTGCTTCAGAAGCAAAGCCAAAGCCTTCAGGAAATGGGGCTGTCTCCCAGAGCATAGCTAGTCTGGGGTCTAGGAGGGAGCCTCTGAGGAGAGGGTTCAGGCTGCCATTCAGAGCCAGGTTCCCTGTCTGATGCTCATGGTCTTTTGTTCACCTCCTGCTGGGAGGTGGCAGAATAGCAAGAACTGGGGCTTTAAACTATGGGTGTGATTTTTATCGCGGATCCCACTGACATCTTGACGTCAGGAGAGGCATTCAGGTAAGCTCTGTACACAATAGGCTGGGATAGGAAGGGCTCCGAGGGTGGCAACTGAGTATTGGGTTATTCTTGATATTATTCCTAATATTCACGTAAGACCCAGTTGACTTCAGTGGCCTTACCACTGAACTCAATGTTTAAGAAAGAAATAGGGAGAATCTCTGGTTCACATGGAGTAAAGTAGAGAAACTGCCATAATCATCCAAAACAGTTCATGCAAAACAGCATTTTTACATAAAAAATCCAGATAAAGTAAAAATTAACATGTTGGTTGGGCTTAACTGGATAGTCACCATGATTCCCCATTTAAATTTTCACATTTTAGAATTATATGTTTCCCATCTCTTCCCAAGATAATTTGGGGTAACTAAAACCTGTAGAGTAAAATATGATATGAGACCAATCAGGCTAGTAAGAATAATAGCTAACATTTATATAGAGCTTACTGTGTTTCAGGCATCACCTTAAACACTTAACATTTTTAAACCCCTTACCAGGACTCTAAGAAACAGGTACAATTATTGTCTCTATTTTAGAAATGAGAAAACTGAAGCACAGAGGAGAAACTTGTTCAAAGTAATACAGCCTAGAGAAAGCGATAGAGCAGAATTCAAACTCAGGCTGTCTGGCTCCAGTCTGTGTTCTTAACAGCTATGCTATACTTCCTGTAAGGAGAGCAAGACAAAAGTAGATGGAGGAAACACCAGGCAGTTACCAGAGGAGGGCCACAGGGGTGTCTGTGAGTCTTCAGGATCAAAACCAAAAGGGACCCTGGTTAAGTCACAAATGCTGATAAAAGGCGAATATATTAGATGCTCAGGACACACACAGAGACACACAAGCACACACACACACACACACACAGCCCAGCTGGGATGACTAAGTTCTCCTTCTTTTAAAGTAGATGTTTTGGTGGGACAGAGGAGAGGGGTAGGAGAAAATGCCTTTCACCACAGCCAGGCTGACAGCAGCAAATTACATAGGGCTATTTGTTAAACATGCCTTCAAAGCAGACCAAAGGTATAACATCAAAGCACCAAATCTGAATTTACAAATTTAGTAAAACTGATTCTTCAAGAGGAAGGAAAACCAGTAAGATGCAAATAGTCATTCTCTGATGGTCTGGTTTGATCCAGAGATAAAAATCTAGCACATCTAGTGGAATAAAATAACTGCGTATCTTCCAGGCAATCAGTAAATATTATTTCTCATGAGAAGGCTTTAGGCAAATGTTGAGCACAGACGAAAGAGGGAGAAGCGTTGTATTGCTAATTAAATCTATATGCTTCTGAAAAACCAACTCAGGAGAAAGTAAAAAGAAAGTTCCCCTTAAGACATTAGGGGGATATGTCCCAGAGACTTATTGGAGAGGTCACTCAACTGCCCTTATGGGTCAGCATATCTACATCACATCCTATATTTTTATTTTAAAAAATGAGATCAATCTCAAAAAACAAGTTCTTATTTTAGAAGCCAACTGAACTCATTTTTTAAAGTGTGAGGTAGTATATTTGTATTTTTTAAAACAAAATGTAAAAGCTGGTACTGAGGTTATGCATGAGTGCAAAACATAACAGACAACGAATATAAAATGCAGGTGACTGCTTTACTGCTGTTTGGTTTTAACTTTAATATTGCCTGTACTGCACCTTCTCTCACGGTGCTAATAACCCAAACTAAGGCCCTGGAGTTGTATTAAATGGGTGATTTCACTTTTTTAAAAATCCAGGATAATCCCAGGTCTGGAACCTTACAATTCAGTGTGAGATTTTTCTGAAAAATGAAATTTACAGATTAGTAACTTTGCTGTCTCATTTATCCCACCCCTACTTCCTCACCCTCAACATCAATGAAGTTGTGACTTACTGGTCAACTATTAGTATAGTATCCCAATCACCTTACCTGCTGGGGTGCTCACCAACTCTGTTTCCTTAAGATTCCATAGGCTTACCCCTGGCAACAGATTGCATAATTTCGCTGACTGCCTCATGCTGTTCTTGAGGAGAACGTTTTTGCTCTCACTGCAAATGGCTGTAAATCCAGCCCAGCCTCATCCTGACTTCAGGTGGACCTCATCAGTTGTAGGCATCTTATCAGCACGAAACAGCCTCTCCTAATAGCTTGATAAATATTCCTGCCTTCCTAGAATCAGTTATCGAGAGATTCAAATCATGATCAGTACTTAGAGCAGATATTACTACAGACTTAATGCCAGTTACCTTTTGTACTTATCTCTGTAACCAGAGAGGCTGAAAAGCTCTTTTTATGTCTCCACTCCTGGTCACTGAAAGCTGAGTTCATTCAAAATTTCCTCTGGCCTAGGCAGCTTGCAGCCCTGTAATAAAAATTAAAGAAGACATGTGTATGAATATAAAATAAAATGTATGTTTCCCTGGCATCCACTTCCTCCCCATAACCCTGCCCTAAATTTGGCACCAGGGCAAAGAAATGTTAAGTCTTAAATGGTGGGGCAGAATGAAGGTGGAAACAAACCTCACTGCCTTTGGGTTAGTTCCACATATGACAAAATGGTTTCAGGGGCATATGGCTTTTGCCCTTCTGTCCCTTTGTTTTAATGAAATTGACCTACAGAGTCTGAAATCCAAAGAATGTAGGGCTCTGGATTTGTGAAATTTTACCAGCAGTCTATGGAAAACAAGTACTTTCTTCTGAGTGGACCTAACAACACACATTTTATGAAAGTAATTATAAAACCTCAATTGTCAGGAAGATAAGAGGAGCTGTAAGGTAAAACCTTCACGCCTCTTCATGGGAAATGGACACCATGTGATACAAAGATACATAGAGTCTGGAAACTTTTTTTTTTTTTGAGATGGAGTTTTGCTCTTGTTGCCAAGGCTGGAGTACAATGGTGTGATCTCAGTAGCTGGGATTACAGGTGTACGCCACCACGCCTGGCTAAATTTTGTGTTTTGTTCTTGTTGTTGTTTACTTTTTTAGTAGAGATGGGGTTTTACCATGTTGGCCAGGCTGGTCTCGAGCTTATAACCTCAGGTCATCCACCTGCCTCTGTCTCCCAAAGTGCTGGCGTTACAGGCATGAGCCACCACACCCGGAACTCTTTTATAAAGAAAAATGGCAGAATATAGGGACAGTGGTACCTCCTCAAGAAAGCTAAAAGTAATCTAAGGCTTATGAGGCCACCCTTCAAAAAGTAAAACCACACACAATTTCAACATTTACAGTGTCATCACATCGCTCTACATTTTACAGTTAATTGGGTCCTCTATGCAGAGAAGCAATGCTCTACAGAACAACAGACTTACAGCTTTATTTTTCTAGAACCCACACCTGTGTACAGTAGTCTTTGTGGTCAAAATTTTTCTTTTTGTGTCCTCTTATTGACCCTCACAACAGCCCGTGGAACAAGGAAAATATAAATATCCCCGTTTCATTGATAATATCATTGAGGCTCAGGCAAAGTTAAGCAGTTTGTCCATGGCCATGAAATCACGTGGTGATGGAGCATATATGGTGGTTACATGCACAGCTTACAGGGCTTTAGCTCCTCCGACTGCCACGCTGCTCTGAAGGGTACCAGGGCTGGAGCTGATGGATGTGAGAAGGGGACTAGCCACGAACCAGAGTGTAGATTGACCTGCCAGTGGCCGCTTCTGAGGCACACACTTCTAATCTAGCCCGAACTTTGATTCATATCCCTAGTCGTCATTTTTGCACAAAAAGAAATGAACCCAAAAAGTATCTCCTTTTATATTGCTTATAAAAATGTCCCTTTTACAGGCCTTCGTTTCCTTTCTTCATAGGGTCATGCTCTTTCCATAGTAAGCAGCTGCAGTCCCTTGGTGTCTTGTCAGTATCTGAGACTGACCTTCCCCAGGAAAGTTTCAAGATCTGTCAGCCTTTGTCTAAATTCCAACGGTGTGTCAAGGTGAGAGGAGGCGGCAAGGACTGAAGCAGAGATCTGTGTTCTGTTCTGGGTTGTGGAACTCCGGACTCCTTGTCCTCTCCCAGGTCCAGAGACAAGCCCCTTGAACCCTTCTGACTCAGTTTATCTGCCGTGAAGCAGCACTAAGAACTATGTCCTACCTGAGATAACCTGTGAGAGCAGTCGGCAGAGACGGTTCCGCCACCCGTGGACAGCAAGTGAGCTCAAGATTGGAAACTGGCCCCAGCACATCTAAGGCCATGAAAACATCTTTGCTTAAGCTCTTGAAGAAAAAAGGTTAAATTCCCCCTGGCCACTTTTTTTCTGTAAGTGGAAAAACTTGCTAAATATGTGACCCCATGGTTGACAACTGTATAACTGTGGAACTGAACAGATGGCAGTAAAATGCGTTCCTCTGGTTTTCAACACCTTTCAGTGCCATACTCAGGAGGGGGAAGTGCCATTCACTATTGTCTTTGAATTTCTCCTGCCTTCTGCCCATAATGGGGGAAGAAAATCCATGCTGGATTCTTCTTTCGATAGTATAGACAGGGCTGCATTCCAAGTCCTTCTGAGGCCACTTAGATGCATTTCATCATTGTGACTATTGTTTTAGGTTTCATTTGCTCACATCTCAGCCCCACCAACAAGCCTCAGCCTGCCCCATTTCTTTCCCTCTGAAGCTTTTTTCTCACAACAAGCCAGGGGACACTTTACCTCCCCCTACACACTAAGGAACTAATGAAAGAACATGTCCTGACTCAGTAAGCAGCAGGTTTGGTGTTTCTTTTTTCTCCTTGGCATTCATGCTCTCATCCCCAAATAAGATTTATCCATAAACATTTTCTCTCTTCCTAATTCCACCGGAATACTTAGTTCGTTTTCATTATTATATCTCATTTCCTATCTGGCACAAAATTTTTCTCATTGGTACATATCCCTCTTATGTGGTCCTTGTATCCATTATTCAAAGTTGCCTCCCCTACTCCAAAAATAAAAAATAAAACAATATTTCTGTTAAATATTGTTCTGTTAAACATTGTTAAATGTTCTGTTAAACATTGTTTAACAGAAATTTCTGGTGCGGTATGTCAGCTGGCTTTTAGTTTTTGTTGTTCGCTGTCTTCTGTAGATCATCCCAAGTGCACCTTCACACTGACTCTGACTCTCAGGAGGGCTGGCTGAAACTTCAACTTCTAAATGAAATTAGTTCTTCTAAACAGTAATACATTCTCCAGCTCACCCTATGAGAGGTCTCCTTGGCAGGATCCCATGCGGGAGAGAACACCAATGAAGACAAGTCAGCACCATCACGACCTCCACAAAGACAATGGCTCTCTGATTCAGGCCTGAAATATTTGCTGTTGATGGTGCAGAGAAAATGTAAGGCTTCTGAAAATGACTTTTCAGAAGATTGACTCAGAAGTAGCTGAGTCAATCACCTGGGTAACAGGGCAAACAGACAGTCAAGGAAAGAAAGAAATTTAAACATAAACCAGTGCCACCCTCATGCCAATGGGTGGCAAAGAGCCTGAAGCAGTCGTAAAACAAAATTTTGAATGGCTTTAAGATAAAACAACAATGGTACCGGTACCAAAACAGAGATATAGACCAATGGAACAGAACAGAGGTCTCGGAGGCAACACAACATATCTACAACCATCCGATCTTTGACAAACCAGACAAAAACAAGCAATGGGGAAAGGATTCCCTGTTCAATAAATGGTGTTGGGAAAGCTGGCTAGCCA